TAACAATAAAGCATTTCAGTCCGAGATAAGTTGGGGTAGGCTAGAGTTAAAACCCATAAGATCTTGAAACCAAGTCATGGTTCTGGCACGTGGATAGCTAACTTCCACGCACCCCAATCCATGGCTAGTTCTTTGCTGATATTCCAGTCATTCAGATCTCTCTTTACGGACATGCATAAACCTTTTACATCTTTCACCAATCATGTCTTTAAAGAAGTTTATGGATCAGTCACATGGAAATAACATAGCATTGGCCTTGAATAGTACTTCCGCACTATTATACTGATAAGGGTCAGCTCTGTACCTACGCATAGGGTGCCCACTCTATGGCTAGTTTATTTGTGCATGGACATTGTAAGTTTGTAACATGCCATGCCCATTTTGTTTCAGAGATATACTCCCTCCGTTCCGAATTACTTGTCTTGGATTTGTCTAGATACGGATGTATCTAGACTTATTTTAGTGCTAGATACCTCCGTATCTAGACAAATCTAAGACAAGTAATTCGGAACGGAGGGAGTACTGTGTAATTAACGCATTGTTTAAACCATCAATGCTCTTAGGAAAAACACATGAATGAATATGCTAACAAATAACGTCTCATTTCACTACAAGTCACCCACATTGAGTGTAACATGTGGGGTACTGCATGCTTAGGCATAGGTTACTTCTTTACATAGTATTACGTTACTGTCTTCTGTACCCCAGATATTGTTGAAAATCAACAATGGTAATTGCATCATGGAGACAAAGGAACACTACTTATTTTCCATATAGAGGCCTAACAATCCAAAGAAATCAACAGTTGTAGATCTTAACTCTGATTAGCTTAAGGCCCGAGCTAAAAAATATCTTCATTGTTTCTAAAAAAAGTATTGTCCTAATTTCAAGATGTCAACTACATAATTGTGACATTACAGCGATCTTATCACATAGGTGCTCATGTACTTCTGCACATAACATTCTATAAACAGTAGCAATGCCAATTCAAAAGACACGATTTCTGTTATAGACACTTGAAAGTGCTACTTAAACATAAAAATAAGATATAAAAATAACTCTGGAACATATATGAGCTAGTACTATCAGTAATGTAAGCATATACGAGACAAGAACTTGATAATTATCATGTGTGAGCTGGCAATCCAACATTAAGCTACCTACACAAATGCAGTTACCTGTCCAGTGGCAGAAACTCCTTTGTCAGTTCTTCCACACCTAGAATAGCATGAATCTTCCCTGCTTCCAACCAGTAGTCTTGCTCTTTCAATTGCTTTGAAAATCTCAGACTGAGAGGACCAAGATAGAAGCCCTTCAGAAAATCTTAGATGCCTTTGGAAAAAGCAAAGAAATAGTTCATAGGAGAATTACCTCGACTGTCGGCTCTGTGTGGGCTTCCGAAGCAAAGCCATAGAATCTGCACAAGAACAATGGTGCTATAAGAAAAGCATGAAGAAGGGGCTAAGCACAACGAAGAGGGTTACAGACAGAAATAGCAAAGAACAGAGAGCAGATGCAGGTGTCAGTAGAATTCCACGTAATAGTAAAAAAATACAGTGCAAACTAAGCATCGACTTCCTGTTAAAAATACAATCATACCTCTGGCCAAAGTACATGATTTTCAGAGCAATTAATCGCTTTTGGCAGTGGCTTACATTCCCTTGTTGGCGACCTGTAAGGTAAACAAAAAATCAGTGATTTTCAAATAATTGAGGGGGAGAGTATATCCCATTAATATCAATAGATACATATTGAGCATACTTAGTTTCTATCTAATTGAGTGGCAAACAAAAAACAGACAGAGTTCATTAATAAAAAAAGTGCCTTACAATTAATGCAGTTAACATGTCTTAAGTTATACCTGTTCTTTTAGAATGCTTCCTTCGAATTTTAGATAAATCATCATGCCCTTCCCCTTTAACATTGCACTATAAGTCGGATGCATATGCACGAGTTAGATCAGATAGAAAGCAAAGTTATGTATACAATAGTTTGTTTCAGAATGTGTACCAGTGCTTGATTTTCAGTAGATATCGTCATGTGATCGAATGGAAGGCTTACGCCATGGTCTGAGGTTCTACTTTCGTGTGATTTTACATTCTTCAGCACTTGTTGATCACGGCTCTCAGCTAAAGAAGATGGTATATTGCCCTCCTATAAAAGTGGAAAGTTAACAAAGCATCGACAAAGCAATAACTTGATGTTACATAACAAGCATCAACATCAATCAATACGCAAGTATTGCTGTATAACAATTAACAACGTTTAACTTTACACTTATGTGCATCACTTTTGCCATTATACTTATTTAGTATGCATGTGTGAAGACACTATGGAGTCCTGATTACATTGGGATTTATTAAATTTACTTGGCAAAGAGCTCATATACAGCACAAAAGACACTATGGAGTAATTAGCACTATCATTCACATAAATCCAGGACTTCATAATTACTCTCCGGAGCTCGTACTTAGCATAAGCAGAGCTCTCCTTAACCCTCCAACAACACTATTGACTGAATAGAATAGCCATAAGTGGAATGGGAATCATCGTTCAGAGCAATGGCGAGAGGAGTAATCAGCCAAAGGTGTCATCTGCGTAAAGGAATGAAACCGCTTGAAGCTTCTTGTCTTACCTTGGAGCTGCAGCTGCAGGTGGAAACAATCTGGGCAAGCCTCTGGTTCTCCCTCTCCAACTCCTAACCACATCG